ACAAAAATCTAAGGAGCTAAGAAACAGTAAGTAAACTTGAATTTAAAATATCAATACAAACTCGTGGGAGTATATTTTATGGAAAATATTTCTAAGTCTGTGCACTGAAAAGGCTCCAAGCAATCACACCCCTATAGCAATGAAAACTCAGCTCTCGGCTCCTAAGTACAGTCTCCGAACTAAAAAGAACCAAAGTTTCTCTGGAGATCTGGCAGATTCCAATCCTGGACCCAGGAAAATCCAAGGTGAGCACTGGGACATTTATCATTCCAGAAAGCAAGGAAATGCTCAGAAGCAAATAGAGGTACAAAGAGAACACAGAGATGCCAGCTTGACCACCTTTGGGACCATTTAAGCATAAAAATCAAAATGATTTTGTTTTAAACGTAGTTATTTTGATTTTTGATGCTTAAAACAAAATCATTTGGAAAATTACCACTGGATGGGAGCATTTCACTAACTTCTTACTTTGAAAAAATATATATTTAAACTGACATTACCACACATTTGCCCAGTCTTAATGAGAAACTATTCAAATCCAATTTATAAGGGAAAGTTCTGTACAGAACACCAAAACTGTAATGATAGATTTAGACGATCAGCATTTCCAACTCCAGTGGGGGAAAAAACTGATGCAGACATGGTTCATTAAAGGATGCAAAACCTATTCAATAACATTATTCTAGGCTATTGAGGAACAGGGTATCACGGCGCACTAAATTAACATCATGTGATAAGTGCCAATGGCAAGGGGATTAAATGTATCTTTACAAGGTTGAGACCTGCAGGTGATGTAGCTCAACATGCAGGTGATGTAGCTCAGCAATGCAAACAGCAGAGACGACCTGACATTGTATGCTTCTCAAAAATAAATGAGGCATATAGCATCCCATATGAAGTGATTTTTCAAAAAATAATTAAGTTTTCATACAGCAAATCTCTAAAGAATATAGACCCAACTTTCAGTTTACAGAAAGCAGACATAATATAAAAACAAATTTGAGAATAATGAAACAAAAAAAAATATCCTATATATAGGATATTCTGTAAGATCACAGGTATGGATTTTTCAAAAAGAATTATTTTAAAAAGTGGTTGAACTATTAAACCTTGAGGTAAACAAAAAAAAAATCAAATCAAATGATGCATTTGGATAGAGTCTAGGTTGAGAAAATAGCCAAAAACATTTGAGATAGAAAAATATAAAGAGACTAGATATTAGTTATGATACATGTGATACATAATTGAGATTAGAAAGGAGAACATAGGAAAAATGTTAATCTATCTGATGGTTACATCATGTTTATTATGTAGTTCCTGAAAACTTTCTAGTGTTTAGTTAAAACTTTTAATAAAAATTAGGGAAGAGCTCAAGTATACACTATCACCTCTGAGGTAGCTAAAAATAATTTAAAAATCCATTAAGCATTTTGATATAACTTTCAGTTTATAAGAAATATAGGTCAAGGGAGGCTAAGCTAAATGGCCTCATTAGGAGGCATAAGGTAGAACATCCTGAAAGAAATGGCCTGGTCCAAGTTGATGACATAGACTATCTTAATGTAGCACCATCCCTTTCTAAGGACAGAACAAGTAGAAACAACAGGTGGTACTACTTACCAAATAGAATATGAAGGATGTTTGGGGTTAACTGGTAAAAAAAAAATCTAGATTGTCTGGACATCAGTTAAAAATTTAATGTGTAAAGGTAGAGATCATTTGAATCTAGTTACAAAAATATATATTTATATACACACATACACACCACACACATATATACACAGAACATAAGCTTATTTGGGAGCACTGTATATGAGGTATTAAAAAATGAAGAAGCATAAGATTTTATCAGATGTGACCTTAGATACAATGCTCTCTGGATAGATACAATGCTTTCATTTTTAAATTATGGATGACCCATATTTTTTATTATCTACAATGAAAATGTACATAATAACAAAAGTTTTATTTTTAATAGATTTAGAAGAGAATGTCTTTCCTACCAAGGTCACAAAGACTTATTTTAAAAGACCCACCTCCCCCGCCAAAAAAGGGCATGAAGTATGGAGGAAATTTTACCAATACTATTGCATTAAAATAAGGACTATTTATCAAAAGACAACAGTAAAAAGTCAAACCACAAACCAGAAGGATATTAATATTTGCTGTACACAAACTTTAAAAAGATGGTAACAGAATAAATAACTCCTGTGGCTCCATTAAAAAAAATCTCAGAAAAATGAGCAAAAGTTATTAATGGTCACACCACTGAAGATGATTAATCCGAGTCCTATAGACCTATGAAAAGATGCACATGCTCATTAGTAATTAAGGAAATGCAAATTAAAACTATGAGATCTGATTCAACACCCACATTTTTTTGAAATTAAAAGCCAATATCAAGTGCCAAGGAGAATTTCAAGGGGCAAAACTCTTGACACTGCCAAGAGGAGCATTAATTCTTTTAACCAGCTAAAAAAGTAACTTGGTATTACCTTGTAAATCTTAACATGCATACTGCATACAACCCAATTCCATTTTTAGGTGTATTTATTACACTTTCACGAACCCTTGACAGCAACTCGCCCAGTCAAATGGGGATTATTTTCGGTTTTGTTTTGTGGTACTAGAGATTGAATCCAGGTGCATCCTGCCACTGAGCTAAATCCCCAGCTCTGTTTTTTGAGACAGGATCTCACTATGTTGCCGAGGTTGACCTTGAACCCAAGATCCTATTGCTTCATCCTCTTTAGTAGCTGGGTTACAGGTATGAGCCACTACATCCATTTCAGTTGAAGTTTCTAAGCAGCATTTTTTCATAAATTATTAAGTCAGCACTTCGCTGGTGCATTAAAGTATTGCTTTGTGATAGTTTACATACATACATATATACACAAACACACACACACCCCCCACACACAAAGTGCATTTCTTACTATTGGCCATGTACCAAAGAGTTTGCTACATGGGGGAATTCTTGCATGTAAGCCCCAAGAAACTCTCAAATGCAGAACACGAAATGGCAAACTCAAATGTTTCCAACACATAGAACAGATGACTTGTAGTACACAAATGCACAGGGGTGCTCCACAACAGTGATATTGAGCACTCTGTGGCTACACGTATCAACATGGGCACTTCTCAGAAACCATTGTGGGGGTAAAAAAATAAATTTAAAAAGTCAAAGAACACAAGGGTGGAGATGTTACTCAGCCGTACAGCACTTGGCTTATCCTGCGCACAAGATCCTGGGTTCAGTCCCCTCTATGGCAAAAAAAAATGGACCTAATGTATATGAAGAGGTCTTAAGATATGTAATCTTAGGGATTTGACTGTGGTCAAAGTACAATGAAAGGAAAGGGAATGATAAACAAAACCAAAAGTGGCACCAGGAGATCGACAGGATGGGATGATACAACGGGCCTCTAGGATTCTGGTTAAAGCGAATGGTAAGAAGTAATCATTGGTAGCATCTGCGTTACCAAATTTACCATGCCTAGTGCTGATCTTAGGTGTAAGTCTTATATGTAGCAACTTTTCCTTACTATTTAAAGCCCCAAGTTGTTTTCCATTACTCAGTTTAAAAAAAAAAAAAAAAAAAAAAAGGACTCCAAAAGAAATTCCTTTAATTTGGATGCTCTACAACCGATTTAGTCTAGGCTATTTAACCCTATTCCATTTGTCTCATCATTAAAACCTGACAGTATCAGCCCCACCTACAAAAGATCTAGAAGGAACTCAAATGCTCCAAATAAATGATAGAGAAATGCTAATCACTCCAATTTGATCAGTATGCCTTCAATATATGTACTGACATCACATCATGTCCCATAAATCTGTAGTTATTACACACTAAAAAAAAATTAAAAGAACCTTCTGTCAAAGAATGCTGTAAAAAGCTGCACAAAGCTAGTTTTTAAAAAAAAAAAAATCTACTGGGAAAGAAGAGACTCATTTAAACTGTTTGGCATTTTTCAATCCTAAAAGGTTTTCTCCTTAAAACATTCTGATTAAGCATGTGCAAAACCAAGGACAATCAAGATTTATAAATCTATAAGTCACCGAACAGATAAAACAGGCTTCTACTCTTGCCCTTGGCAGGGAGCAGCTTAATCTGCCTGGAAGATCACACACCCCCAGCTGTCATTAAAAACTAGAGGTCAGACCACAGGCAGAACTCGGCCACCGCTGGAGTTCTCCAAAGGAGCAGAACAAGGCAAGGAGGAGAGGTAGTTCTGAACAGGGCAACACACTGTTGTTTTGGCCAGAGGAATAAAGGACAGGTTTCTTTACAAATTCTATACCGGAGGCTATGTCCTGCTGAGGAAATAAGACTTTCGCCCCACCTTGCAGGCAGATGGAGAGAAGAGGGGTAGAGAAGAAACAGGCCAAGGGAACACACATAAGTGCACAAACACACCCCTTACTTACCCTGTGCACCAGACACTATGAATATACCCTTAAAGCGCATTATTTTATGTAATCCTCAAAACTCTGCAAAGACAAGTCTCACTTTAGACACGAGGATGCTAACACTCAATAAGACACCAAAGCCCATGATTGGCTGGTAGACTGGGGTTCAAACCTATGTCTGTCTGATGTTAAAGCTCACACTCCTTTTGTATCTCACACAAAAAGAAAAACAATGACTGTAGAATAACACAGTCTTGGAGTGCTTTCTCTTAGAATGGACTCCAAGGCTGCCCCCAGCAACTCCTGCTCTCTAATGCCAAATGCAATGCAGCCACATATCAAGATGCACACCCTGCTAAGCTGGGTAGGATTCTGCGACAAGGAGGGGGTCACTACATTCTTCACTCCCAGGCCACACCTCCAGACACAAACTTCTCACACGTATAATTTTAGCCACAAGAGGGAAAGGTTTAATATAAAAGGTTTGTGCAAAGCCACAGCACCCTGAACCTCTCCCACCCTGAACCCACTTAATTCTGAGGCCAACCTCTTGCGCTTGTCCTAGCAACAGTGGTTTCCACAATTACCTAAGGTCCAAGAAGAGACGGTCTCCAGAAGAGGGATGCTGCTGTAGATGGCATGCATGTACATGAGGTGAGCCATCAGCTCGGCTAGCCCCCACCAGCAGAGAAGGCGGCCCAGGCCCCGGGCAAGGACACAGAGGCTGTCCCTCAGGGAGGGGAGTTCTTGCTGCTGCATCTAAAATGGAAACAAAGGAGAAGGTGGTATTAAATGGTGCCTTGATTTCCAAAACCTTCAGATAGTCCCTTCAGTGATGTTTTTAATAAACTGCTCAAAAACTGTTGCCATTTCTGCTAACAGAAGGTTGGGTTGGGTTGCCTTGGAAACCTTTTTCTTGGGTGAAAATGTCATATCTGAGCTGGAAGACTGTCCCAGAAAAGGAATAGGGTGGAACCAACCAACAAGCTACCTGGCTGGGAGGCAGCGCTTAGTGTATTTTGCCCCTGAACCCCCACCCCGGGGACCTTGGCATCTGGGGAATCTAGGTGTCAACCTATCTGTCTTCTTCCTACATTCACTCATGTCTGTAGAGTCAGGCCAAGTCAGGAAGAGGCACCAGCCGACAAGAGAAAGAGTGGGAGCCAGCCTGAGAGAGAGAAAGAAAGATTAAGTATAAAGATATTAAGTGTGTGTTATTTTACCTAAAGTTGTTTTTGAAATAAAGTCAACCTAACAGTGATATGTGTCCTGCTCAGCAGCAATATATTAGTTAAGAACACAAGACTTTAGAGTCTAAGTCAAGGTCCAACTGTAGCACAAACCATAGATCTGTGTGATCCTGAGCAACCAGTCTTGGTTTCCTCACATGGGAAGAAAAAAAAAAAAAGTTGTCATGAAAAAGCACTTAAGTACTAAGTATAGCACTTAGCATATTGAAAGCACCAGGTAACTGACAGCCTTCATGTACCTTCTTCATGTTCTCCCCTCTGGAGTTCTAGAACACCAGCTTCAGGGCAGCATGAAGAGAAAGAAAGTTCATGGCCAAACATCAAAGGTGAAAGAGAGAGGTGTTCATGTTGTTCAGAGAGGAATTACAGTCCCACTAGCCCTTATCTGAAATGCTTGGGACCAAGAGTATTTCAATTTTTCAGATTTTAGACTATCTACACAGACTCTACTAGTCGAGTGCCCAGTCTGAAAATCTGCCCCAAAACTTTCAGATTTTGAAGCATTTCAAATTTGAGATGCTCAGGCTGTGCCGAGATTATCCTCAACATATGGGGATAATACACGGGGCGGGGGGGACACGACCCACAACACCGCATCACAGTTCTACTAAAGCAGCCTAGTTGTGAAGTCTCATCTACTGCACAAGCAATATACAATCATCTAAACTGATTCTAGAATTCATAAACTTGCTACCCAATTTGACGTGAATTCAATGTCATCCTTATATCACCATATAAACACACACACACACACACACACACACAGAGAGAGAGAGATAAACCAGAGAGCAGGTAAGTAGTTTTCTGATCTTACGAGATCTCGGGTCTACTGGGCTAGAGGCTGCCTTGAGATTCCGAGGTGAGGCCATGCCAAACAAAAAGCTGAACCTGCAAAAGGGCTGAAAGAGGAAGTAGACTTGGCTTCACTTCTGACATGTGGGGCTCAAGACGCAAGTAAACCAGAAAGGCCAACCTAGCTGAGGACCCCCAAGATGCCACCTCAGCTTCTCTCTCCCCTCTAACCACCAAGTGCAGCAGCTGGCAAAGGGAGAGCTCTAGGCCAGGAAACTTATTAACATACAGTCTACCACTTTCTCAAACTGTGCTACACCAAGAAACCATGCTAAGAAATCCTGGCTGGCTCGGTAGCATTACAGTTAGTAGAAGAAAGGACTTTTTCCATTTGCCATCTGTTTGGCTACGCCCTGGAGAGCTCATTGGTTTATATCTTGTTCATGTAAACTCACAAAACAGGAATTTCTTTGTCTCCCTCAGTTCACCTCAGGATGACATTCTGTCCAGCCAAACCAGACTGAATTGTTAGGAAACAAATGGCATCTGCTATTAAAGGATTCACCTGGCAGGCTTTGACCTGAACAGCCCTATTTGGAAAGGGGTCTCCAAGGAGGAGGATTACCCTGGTACTTGTAGTGGTCAGAGGTAGCTGCAATGACAGCTGTACAACAATGACCCAGGGCAGACCCCCTTTCTGGGCATAAACCAAGAACAGTTTCACGTCAAAATTCACCTCCAGCACACATGCTCTGAGAGGCCCTACAAAGTCCACAGCAACGGACCTTCAAGACAGTCGATCAGTACATCCTCAATGCTGTAACAACTATCTGCCAGCTCATTAATACCTGCTATTTGAGAAAAAAAATATCCTACAGTAGAGGATTGATCCAATATGACTGTCCTTTGGTATTAGAGAGCCATGAAAATAATTTTTGTTCACTATATATAACATGAAAGACTGATAAAATAAACACCCAAATCACAACGATAATCTTTGGATAGTGAGATTTCAGTTGTTAACAATTAAAAATCAATTCTTTCTGTAATTTGGGCAAAGTAATGTAATTTTATAATACTGTGAAAACTTTGAACCTCTGCTGGTGAGGAAAACACTCAAAGTCCTTGGATTTCTGCACCCTGCTTCTAAAATGATGCCTAGCGCCAGGACTTTCCCAGGAAGCCTATCTCACAAAGGCCAACATCTTCTATGATCATGTATTCTTTTACGCTAGAGTCATCTTTATGTCTCCTTACCTTCCCACCTCCTCCTTTCAACTTCTTAGCCACGTACCGAGTTTCTTTGTTCACTTTCTTTTTCCCCAACTCACTGAAGCAAATCTATTGTCTTAATGACCACCAGGAGCTCAGAAAACCCCAATACACAAACAGTGCTGTAGTTTCAATGTCCCTCTGAAGTTCATAGGTAGAAATCCTAGCTCTTCAGTCATGATATTAGGAAGTAGGACCTTTGATGTTATGAGGTCACCAGCACAAAGCCCTCATAACTGGGATTAGCACCCTTAGAAAAGGGACCCCAAAGAAGAGGGTCTTCTGTAAACCAGGAAGTAGATCCTCACCAGACCCCAAGATGACTGGTGCCTCAATCCTAGACTTCCTAGCCTCCAGGATTTAAGGGCAGGGGGAATCGACTTTCATTACAGCAGCTTGGATGGCTAAAATGCATGGAATCCATTCATCTGTGGAGGCTGAGAGTTCACACCAAGGCCACTAACAAGGACAAGATATTGAGAGGCACCAAAAATCATTCTAGAGCAACAGACACATCTTTCTCAGTGCCTATGGTCTTGGACAGAAGCAAGTCTTCTGGCTGAATGTGATAATGTCCCCAAAAGCAATGTTGGCAGGAGACAATCTTCACACAACAGAATGTTTCTGGTTTCTAAATGAGTAGCTCTGCACAAAGGCTGAAGGCCTCTGAGCAAACACCTACCCTAAACTCAGGTCCCCTGCAGACGAGACCTGCACCCGAGGCCACAGGGCACCATCAATGTGTAGCCCCATCCCTGGGATTAGAGACAGCAGCTGGAGTGGAGGTGGCCCTGCAGAAAGCCAGGGCATCTCTGCCAGGCTATCCAGAAAACACACCTTTCCCAGTCACCTCTGGGCTCCAGGCAATCACACTTCAATGTCAGTTCAAGGTAAGGCCTCCTTATCCTCCCCAAACCAGGTGCAACCTAAAAATGACAAATATCTGTAATTATCAAGAACCATGAGGCGCCGTTTGTGGCTGACTGCCTCCTAATAATAACTTACCTACTTTCCTCAGGCCGAAACTTCCCTACCAGGTTTGATAAAGCATAATTATGTGTCACAACAGGACCAAAAAGGCTGGACCTCTCTCTACAATGCTCCCTTTTAGATGAGGGCCTCATTCAAAGCAAAGGAAACATTCCTTAACTGTACAAATGCATACAGGAAGAGGGGGACAACCCAACTTTTTCATTCTATTTGCTTTTACCTAAAAAAAAAAGGTCATTTTTGTCTGTCCGTAGGGTTGTGCCATTATTATAATCCACTTGTACCTTGAGTCTAATGGACTCTTCTTTAAAGCACCAAGCAGTGGGAAGAGCAGACACTCGACACACAGCTCAGCTAATGAGCAAGGCTGCACTCTTGTCTGCATGTAAAGCATTTCATTTGAGAGATTTCCAACCTAGGGGATTGTCGACCTGCAGACCATCGGAAAGTGCCATCAAGGGAATTTTAAGTTCAGGCTCCATTTAAGAAAAAAAAGAAAAGAGAAAAAACACATTAACTCATCTGCAAAGTGCATTTTAAAACACATTATACTTTAAAACCTCATTTCATGCAAATTGCATGAAAGGGAATATCGAAGCCTTTCTCCTTTCAAAGATATTCTGATGATTAAAGATGACAGTTCTCAAAGATGAAAAGGTTCTTTTCCTTCACACACTAGTAACACGTATGTTTGAGGGCAGCAAACAAAGGCCTTACCCAGAGCCAATTATTCCACCCTGCCACCAACCACCAACTTCTGTCTGCTTGGATCTAGGGATCTTCTGGCAGAAGCCTTATTCCTTCAGGGTGGGTGGGTAGCTGCTTTGCATTTGGTGGTCACAGACCAAACCCTACTCCCACACCAAAAAACTAAAATCACTCCCTAATCAGAATCTCACTGGCCCCAGCCCAGCCTCCCATGCCAAGGCCAGAGATGCACACTGGTCTCTCCCAGACTGCTCATGGGCCTGCAGCTGGTGCTATTCCAGAGTGGTCCTGGTCTGGCCAACTGGAGCCTCCAGACATGCAGGTAAGTCCACCAGACCACACTCCATCCCCCTCAAACTCTTGTCACAGCAAGTCAGAGGCACAAGGCTCATGTCTATTTCTTCCACTCAATCTACACTCCATTAGCCTCCCTTTGCCTCTAGCTCATCTATAAAGTGGTAAGAGAAGACTCTCACAGGGTTGACTGAGGACTGAAGGAGCTAGAATATGGAAAGCCCAGTTGAGAGTAAGTTCTCACTATTATCACAGATAATATTATTCCTGATACTCTCCAGACTCCTATACACTGGGTGCCTGCCCAGCCCTTGATAGCCACTCAGGCCGAAACCACCCCATACCTGCAGCAGCTGCTCTCATCTCTCTACAAAAAGATGGACTGGCTCTTTGGAGGTCAAGATGGTTGCTCTTTGGAGGTCAAGATGGTTGCTTCCAGAATCCCCCATTGCCGTGCCTGCCCACTAAGTTAGACACCCAGGGTCCCAGTTCTGGCCTAACCTTACCCGGGAATTGCCAAATGCTTCTGTTTAACAGTAATAGTAGGTAACACTTTATACTATTTGTGTCAAGCTATGTTACTCACACAAAACCATTTAATCCTCTCAATCCTGTGATGGAAGTACTAGTCCTCACATTCAAAGGAAACAGGCACATATCAGGTAACTTAAAAAACCCACTCAAGCCTGAGACCAGGAGCTGAGCTGCAGAGCCTTTGTTCTCAACCTTGGTGCAAGTTCCCCATTTGGGCACTGGCTCTCTGCCCAGGGTAGGAGCACGGCTCTCCACAAGGAGGATCCCTTGGCCCAACTTCCTCCCAACCCAGCCCATACACAGCACAGTCCACCTGTTCAAAGATGCAGGGGCCTCAGACTCCCAGCTAAGTAAACTACTCTACTTTTCCCTAGACCCTCCTGGATCCCCCAATTTTACTCCTGCTCAGTATTCGAGTTCCACAGAAGCACAACAGAAAAAATAGCTGAAGATTGTGTTCCTGAAACTCTAAATGCCATCAGAAATGGACTTCAAGTTGAGCACAGACTCTGCAACAGGTAAAACTTTTAGCTATTCATCACTGCTAAGTGCAAACTTCACATGCTTCAACTTAAAAAAAGTCACCTCTTCTATACTTCATCTTGTGTATGTCAACATGTTAAAAGTTTGGGTGACACAGGCATTTACTAGGGCTGTGCCTCATCTCATTTTGTCTCATTTTTGTCTCATTTTAAGTTTGTGGCGTCCCCAACTGCTTCTCGGGCCTGGATTGGTTTTCACTGTAGGGCTCTGCTGCCCCCTGCTGGTGAAGCCTTACTCTTCTACCTGACCTTGTCTAAGAATTGACCTGACCATTTAAGAAATAACCATTGAGTTCCTTATTACCAGTCCTTCCTTCTGAAAGTGTTTCATACATTCATTTATTCAAGCACTCATTCAGAGAAAACTCTGCTTAAGAGTTCTTCAAATTAACATTCTCCACCCCTTCCCAGGCTTTTCCTTGGAGGCCTCCCTGAAGGAGCCCATTCACCACCAGATTTGCTTCTCATTCAACCCTCCCCTCTTCACAGGTAAGCAACCCCATAGGCTTCTTCAGCCAACTATAGAAACCCCCTGGATTTTTTAATTTGCCTTGTACCTTAATGAACATTTTTCCATTTTCTAGACCGACTATTCCCAGGCCACAGTGAAAGGCTTTAATTTGCCTTTCCAAATACCCTGCTCTCAGCAATTGCTACCATTTGGGAAAGGGAACAAGACAGGGATAATATATAAATGGAACTCAGAATCCCTAATCTGACCCCTATAAAAAGCCACCCGCTTCTCTTTCCCAGTCTGAGATGGACAAGAATGGGGGCTCTTGGCTAAGGTTTAGGGGAGCAATAATCTCAAAGCTGGCCTCTATGGAGCAGATACAGGATGCTATGATAGGCCTCTAGTACTCCTGCTGGACCCTTAAGGGTAAATTTTGAAAGGAGACATGAAATTTTTATAATGATGTTTTTTGCCTCATAACAAAAGCACAGATTTTGCCACCCGGCAAAGCTCTTTATGGTTAAGAGGCAGGAAAATAATCTGTTTCCTCCCAATAGATTCAGTCTGTTTCTCAGACAATTACTATTCATCTTTGGGGGAGGAAATGGGGAGATGTTTAGTCCAAAAGTTACTGACTGGAAAATTGGGAAGAAATAAAAATCCACAGTGTCCCTTTTTATATGACAAAATATAAAAGAAAAAAACTGGAGGATCTGAACCTTCCCTATACTATGCCTGCTCTTCCTGGGGGAGGGGACTTGGAATAGTGGCCCTCAGACTTTAGCATACAGGAGAATCGCAATCACCTGGGGGGGGCCTGTTAAACTATCCAGATAGGACCACCCCCAGAGGTTCTAAGCATTGGCATTTTAACTAGTCCCTGGAGGTGCTGATCCTGCTGGCTCTGGGACCTCACTGAGAGCAGCTCAGTTAGAAGATCAGCTGCCATCACTTAGCCACCTCTATCCTTTACCAACTGCAACAGTTTCAGATATGAAATTACCTCACAGTCAAAGAATAATCCCACGTCACCCAAACTGAAGTATGAGAAACCCTATACTAAACCTCCATTTGCCCAGTATATCAATTTCACATAAAAGAATACTGGAGAGTAAGAAGTTGCATCTGTCACTGGCAATTTGAGAACATGATGTTATCATAATGCAAAAAAAAAAAAAGTAACCTTAAATGCAATGCAGAACTTGAGAATCACCAATTTTGTCTTAATTCCACTAAGAATCCCACTTTCTCCCAGGGCGGGGGGGTACATCTTTCAAGTCGTCCCTCAGTAAAGGATAACACTGCTGCTGGCCCTATACTTTGAACTATGCTTCCAGGCACATGCATCTGTGTGTATTGTACAGGTGTATGCACTTGTTGTATAAATCTGCACGTGTTATTCTCTCCCCTACCAAAATTGTTTTGGTGGTGGAGGGCAGAAGTACCCCTTAGTAATAATATTGAGAACTGTTCCTTAACACTTGAAGATAATTAACTTAAATATGCCCCGTGAACCTAGCTGTGGGTTGAGGAAGAAAGGGAGGTTTAGTAGAGTGAAAGTGCTGGATAAGGGCACAGCAGCTTAGCACAGTGTCTCCCATAAGGATGCCCTCCAGAGAAGGCAGACAGGCTCTGGGACCTCAGAATCCACAACTGTCTTCAAATGTTCTCCAACTCTGCTTTTGCATCTAGGTTGCCTGAACCATTCCTAAGCTATAGTGGAACAATTTCATGAGCAGTTTATGAATGTGAAAGGAACCACACTATTTGCCAAGCAACAACAAACAGCATAGACATTCTCTCTTCCTACTCTTTCAAGGAATAGCATCATAACCAAACTTTTTCTTTCCCCGGACTTTTGCTGTAGTGGATATCAACTCCCAGTCTTAACCGAGTTGTTTGGAACCCTGGCAGCCAAGGGTGGGGCCCCTGGAGCTAAAACACAAGAGACGGGTCAACATTTATTGTGAAGGCTTATTATTGCCCGATACATTTCACCTACCTGCAAAAACTCCAGACAACTAATGGTGTTGTTAATTCTGTGAGTGCACCTGAGTGGAAGGACTCAGTCACAGACCACACAGCAACACAGACAAAGGTTTAATCTATGGAATCCTATCCAACCCCCAAAGTGGGCTCTAACCTGTTTGACGAAGTCCGGGAAGGTGAGGATGGGCCCGTTGTGGAAGACCGGATAGTAAAAGACATAGGCCAGCACCCAGGGGAAGGAGTAGGAGGCCCGGGCTGCGGGCAGCTGCTGCCAGCAGAACTCGAGGCTGAAGCTGGTGTAGCACAGGCAGCGAACCGTCAGTGTGAAGTGCAGCAAGTCATACTCATTATCTGTCTTGTACCACCTTCTCTGCAAAACCAAAAGGAGAAAGCAACCATTGACTGGCAAGGAGAGACAGCATGGATCCGATACAGGAGCTGCCCAGCAGGATCACCGTTTTCTGAGAAGCGCAAAAGGAGACCTCTTCCTTGGCTAGGACAGCTGCTTATAAAGGGAGTCAAGAGCCATTGAAAATCAATTAACTCATTGGAGCCAGGTGTGGTGCGCAGACCTGTAATCCCAGGTCTTGAAAGGCTTGAAAGGCTGAGGCAGGAGGATCACGAGTTTAAGGCCAGGCTTGGCAATCAAAGCAAGCAGTTAGAGCTAGGGGTGGGGGTGGGGTGGGGTTGTAGTTAAATGGTAGAGCAGGAGCCTAGCATGCATAAAGCCCTGGGTTAATCCCCAGTGTGCGCGCACGCACGTGTGTGTATACACACACACACGCACACACACACACACTCAATCAAGCAGCCAATAAACAGGAAATGAACAAAGAAATGTCTCTTACATCCACCTTCAAATTAGCATGAGGGTTGATGCACATAATAAAGTTTTTTGTGGATATGCAACTATGAGAAACATCCATTGGATAACAAGGAGGAACGTTACATTCAACGGATACTTTGACAGTTCCTTCTGTAATTCTTATGACAAAAAGGGACTTGTAAATGTCACTTGGGGTTTTTGTCTTAAACACTTTTTCTCCTTGCTCTTCAGTTATGAATTTGGCTCCACTTTAGCTGAATACTATGTTAAATCAAACTTCGCAGACTAAGAGGTCTCTAAAACAAAGGATTTACTGAGTTATTACAGAGACTAAGTAGACAAAAATAAAAGAAATGGTCTTGGGACAGGTTTCCTAAGCCACCAGCAGCACAGCCTGATAGCAGTTGGGAAAATGTCCACGGGACCTAGAGAACTAGGATGTTTTATAATGAAAATTTGGTGGAAGAAAATAAATCATTTATATTGAACCTACAGATAGATGGAGAAGGAGAACGCTCCTCAGGTAGAGGCCTGGGATAGAGGACATCCATACAGCATGAAACAAATCACATGCACACATAAAAAATGTGCATGGAACAAGAAAAGGAAGACTGGGGAAGGCTTAGCAACATTGGCGAGAGTAAAATCATGAGCATTTGATCATTTTTTATTATCTATATTTTCCATGATAAACATACACATTTATTTTTGTTTTTGTTTTGTCCATGTAGTACTGGAAATTTAACCCAGGGGAGCTCTGCCACCGAACCACATCCCAGTTTGGTCTATGAGGGTCTTTTAAGGCTGTACCCAGAAAAACTTGCCACAAAACACTTTCTGCTCCATGTCTAGGACTTCAGCAGCCACCCTATTTCCTCTAGGTCCAAATTCTTATATATGTGTTTAATATAACCAGCCTCAGTTCATTGGTGAGAGGACAGAAAAATTAAGATCTCCTAACAGCAAAAACTTTCTAAACTTTCCAAATACTAGAAGTGTTAACAACATTGCTTAAGGCAGATTATTTTGTTCAACCTTCGGAACAATCTCAGGAGGGAGGTGAAGTGAAAAGAAAGTAACTAGAACAGATCCGAAACCAGGTTGTCTTCTCATCTTTCCCACCAATGTTGACTCAAGACACACCAATTCTAAATGCAGTCACCTGGAATAAACAAGTGAACAAAAATAAAGACATCATAAGGAGTTCCAAGACCACAGTGATGGAGGAAAGAACATCAAAACTTCCCAAGATTTTCTATGCAAGGAATGTTAATGGGGTGAAGGCAAGAAATAAGAAGGCCACAGGAAAACAGATCCATTAAACATCATAAACCATTTAGAGCTGCTGGCATCACGTGGAGCTTTGTGGGGTGCTGCACACACACCTGTTAAGAGGAAAATCCTTCGACCAATTAAATTTAGTAACATTCACTTGAGCAAAGAAGAATAAAACAAATCAAAACACGATTCACCAGTCAGCAGATTCCAGATCAGACCAGGTTCTGAGAACTCCAGCCAACAATGTGATCAGATAAAGAACAACTTAATTAGCTACAGCCTAGTCAATCAAGCCATCAACTGGTTACAGCTTAAGTAATTAATTATTTACAGCTTAATTAGTTAATTGGCTACAGGGCCTTCTGCAATCAACCAAAGCTCAGTTACTGTGATTAAACTCTACATTGGTGTGGCCTGCTGGGCCCAGTGCAGATGCCCAGTCTGAACCCCTGACCTCTCACAAATTTTGTTTAACACACTTATCCCTTCCTCTAACACCATATCATCTCCACACACTCATTCACTTTGTGAGCAGGCATCTTCAGAGAACTGGCCTGGATTGGAGCCCTGTACTTGGGTGCCTGGGAACAGGGCCCTTCCTCTCAAAGAGTTCATATTTCTAGTCTGCAAGACCAGGTATAGGAACTACTTCATCATACCAAGCAGTGAATAGTCATTGTCACATCCTCTAAAGTGAACATGAAAAATCTTCAGCTAACAGCAGGCCCAACACCAACGAAGCAGTCAAGTACTGACAGATTTCACCTGAGAAACCAACCAGACAGGAGAGGGCTTTCTGTAGAGGCTGGAGTAGCACATTGGGCTGTGCTTCAGAGGAAACAACAGAATCAGACGAACAAGGATGAGGGAAGAGGCTAGGTCCGAGAGACAGGACATAAATGTCTAAAGGCGAAAGGGAGGCAGAGTCACTGGACTCCATCAGCACCTGCATCTCCACGCAAGAAGTGTCTGGGAACCCAGCTTTGACATGGGAAGATGGACAACGGTGGTACCCCTGCCCTAGGCACATGATGGCCCTGAGTTTTCAGAGTTGGGAGTTTCTCCAGCTGTTTGGTGTCAAAGTCGACTGAGCCTGAAGTTCAAGGGCTTCAGACATGCTGCCCTTGGTGTTTGGAATTTTTTCTTCTTACCATGCATTTCTTCCCCAAGGAGAGTTCCCACTTCTGATTGGCTGAGACCTCCATACCATTTGCACACCTGGTGGCCTCCTTGACTATGGTCTTAAATGACAAGCCTGATTCTCAACAAGGGGATGAGATAGGGAAGCTATGCAAACTGCCCAAGGTGTCCCGTTCCAGCCCCATTTTGCACAAGTAGAAAGTCTTTCAAGTTACGAATCACAGAAGAGACCACTGAGAGGTGTCCAGAGGATGCTGTACACCTGCCAGGACATGGTCTGGGACTGTTCAACAGGAACCAGAAAACAGTGCAGGAAGAGGGGTGCAATCAGCTCAGCTACACACTCCAGAGCCAACCCCTGGGCCTGGACTGTGCATTTTGCAGCAAAACACATTTTTCTCACTTTCTAACCACAAAGAGCCTCCGTCCGTTATCTACATGAGGAGATAATCAGTAGGTATGTTCATCAATTAAGAAGAAAACCACTTGTCTTACCTGTCTCAGAGCCATGGTGGGCACTAGAAGTGATAAGGCTTGTGAGCAAGAACATTCCCTAAAAATTGTAGGCCACTGAACAGATCATTTTAATCAAATGCCTAGGGGACTCTTCATTTATTTATGACATCTGGCACCCTCCCTGCCTTTCCAAATAGGGAGGAAAGGTACAGGGCTAGACCTGGGCAACCTCACAGGGCAGAGACAGAACAAACAACTAAGATTGCAGAATTTAAGCAGGGCTCACCTGTATCAACCCTGTGTGGCCACAAGGGGGAGCTCCGCCGAGGCGCCACAATCGTTTTTTTTGTGTTTAAAAAAAAAAAAAAAAAAAAAAGTTAACCTGCTGGGATCAGGAAAGGCCAGGGGGACCTCACCTTCTCCGCCTAAAGACACAATAGGAAGACACTTACCTTAACTTCCTCTACACCTTGCAGCCTCAGTGTGGAGAGCAGCAGGAGAGAACAGAGCCATGACAGGAGCAGCGACCGGAACTGGGCCACACAGAAGGCGATGACGGTGTGCAGGAACACCATGGCCACACCAGGGACCCCCAGCACACTCCAGCAGGCCCACATCCCATAGACCATGAGAATCCAGGGTCTGTGCTACAGACAGGGAGGGTCCCAGGGAGAGGGAGAGGGGGAGGGGGCAGAGGGAGGAAAAGAGAAAGAGGTGACTTCATGGGCTGTTACACCTCAGAGGACAATGTTCGGCCACTCAGTGACCCATAACCGACCTCTCTTCTCACTGCCCTGAAGTTCAGATGAACTTAGCTTCACTCCCACATTTCCAGAATTCCATCAGATCCACCCCAGAGCAGGTGGCCACCTCCCTGTCCTCAGCTAGGATCCCAGACTACCAGATCCCACCCCAATAAGACCTTGCTCTAGCTGACTTCTCAGCAGACACTAGGAAGACAGAAGGCAGGTGCAAAACGTGCCACCCCAGAAGCCACACCCGGCAGGCACCACCCTTCCAAGGTGAAGAGGAGAGGGAGTCTGAGCATTCCTAGGGAGTGTACTGTCCACACCACAAAAGCCTTCCTGACATCCAGGCCAGAGAGTTAAATATCTAATTACATTAAATAAAATCATATCTTACCAGCTTTACAAGATGGTGAGACCTTTATGCAGTCATCAAAACTGACAACACGTATTCCCATTTTAAGAGAATCAGAATATTTTTCTATTTAATTACCATGTAATTTACAGTTATTATATTGAGTAACTAAGCAGATAAATCAGCATGTCCTTGCTATTATGATATACGCTTAGTCATATCTGGCTGGTAAATTTTTTAAATTTTTCATTTGTTCTTTTTAGATATACGTGACAGTAGAGTGTATTCTAACATTATACATACATGAAGTATAACTCCCCATTCTGTGGTTGTACAAAATGTGGAGTTACGCTGGTCATGTATTCATATATGGAAACAGGAAAGTTATGTCCAATTCATTCTTCTGTCTTTCTCATTCCCATCCCCACTCCCTTCCCTTCTTTCCCCTTTGTCTAATCCAATGAACTTCTATTCTTCCCTCTCCCCCTCCCCCTTATTATGTGTTAGCATCCACAAATCAGAGAGAATATTCGGCCTTTGGTTTGGGAGGGGATTGGCTTATTTCACTTAGCATGACGGCTTCCAGTTCCATCCATTTACCAGCAAATGCCATAATTTTATTTTTCTTTAAGACTGAGTAATATCCCATCATGTATATACACCACATTTTCTTTATCCATTCATCTGTTGAAGAGCACCTAGGCTGGTTCCATAGTTTAGCTATTGTGAATTGAGCTCTAAAAAATGTTGATGTGGGTAAGTCCCTATAGTATGGTGATTTTAAGTCATTTGGGTATATAACAAGAAGTGAGATAACTGGGTCAAACGGTGGTTCCATTCCAAGATTTTTGAGGTATCTCCATACTGCTTTCCAGAGTGGTTGCAGCAATTTGCAGTCTGTGGATGGTAAATTCATGTTTAAAATCCATAATAATGCTTTAACATTGAGAAGTAATATCATTATGGTTTAATGACTCAATCTTTGAAGTCCATTTGTCTAAATGCAAATGCTGGTGTTCCCATCAACTAGCTGTTGTGACTCTAGGCAAGTTACTTGAGCTCTCTATACTTCTGTTTCTTCATATATAAAATTGGGGTAAGGACAATATCAACTTCACGAGGTTGTTGCATAGATTAAATAAGTTAAACCTATAAAATACTTAGTACAGTATCAACACACAGTAAGAAATGCTCAAATACTAGCTGTTATTCCTAAGGAAATATGATGTCTCATGTCTCATGGGTGTGCCTTTGTGTGTGTGTGTGTGTGTGTGTGTGTGTGTGTGTGTGTGTTTTGCTGGGAATTGAACCCAGCCAGGGTCTTGCATTTCCTAGGTAAGCACTCTACTATTAAGCTACATCCCCCAGCCTGGGTGTGCATTTTAAAATGTGGTTTCCATAAACACACAAAGCTTAAAAAAAAAAAAAAGTAGCAACTGACTGAATTTAGATCTTCTCGTGAAAACAAAAAGACTTTTTGCAGGGAAAGACAGATGTGAAATGTAAATTGTAAGTTCCATGCTTAGATGTTAATTCTTCCAGAATATCACTTGAGTTACTACTATTATTTCCCAAACCTATACCCGAGTCTAGGAGAATATTTTAAATGTGAGACTAGGTCAGGCACTTTTAAGTTCCAAGAAAACCAGAGAAATCTGAAACCCAATTTTACTTTTTTTCCATCCTACTACCCGCAGAACACAGGCTCATAAATTTGCTTCAGACTTTTCCCCACTCACTCACCTCTGGGCACAGTCCAATTTTAAGGAACAAGGTTGCCAAAGACTATTTTAAGACATAGTTTTAACAAATGAAAGAAAGACAGTTCCTTTTCAGCCTGACCTAAAGCAGTTACTGGCAGGATTCTTCTCCATGCATGCGTGGCTGCGTCCACAGACGCACACACAGTTCCAATTTATTAAGTGCTACTTGATCCGTTTGGAAAAAGCCTGTTTGCTGGGATTCATCTGGAACTTACCGCAGACTGAAGCTGCTTCAACTTGGAAAAAGCTGAAGGAACCTTCAGGAAATACTTGGTAGTGCTGTGTCCACCCCATCTACTTGAGAGATCCTATGATGAATTTAACAGTGGTCTCGAAAGCCACCTTGGGGGCAGACAAATGTGTCCCATATTCTGCCTCATTGCCCCATTGTCTGCCTCCTGCCAAACAGTACAGACAGATGACCCTGAATACAGTACTAAGACACCCAGGGAATGCTCTCAAGTTCGCTTCATGTTCTGAACTAACCTTGCTTGCCCCCACCTCCCCCAGTCCATTAACTCTGCAATTCGTTGGTGGTGAACAGGAAATGAAATGACTTGAATCATGCAACGAGAACCACCTATACAAAACAGCTGTGTGAATCAGAACCCCACTGCAATATTGATTTTCATATCTCATCTATAAAAACACTATTGAAATCCCATCCCCAAAATACCATTAAAATTTTGATATTGCATGATCGGTCCCACCCCATTCTCCAACTGCATCATAGAGAGCAGTCCCCCCTGTGGACGCAGCTCCTACCCACCCACCCCATCCACTATCCCTCCACCAGCAGGCCTAGAACCAGAAGCAGCAGTACTCAGAGGGGTCATGGAACCGCAGAGTGACATTGCCTTTGCTGCCCATGGCCACAAGGTCATCATGGATGGTCATCTTCTTTGGGTGGCAAGGGAGATTTTTCCAAGTATTTCAAAGATCAATATCATGTACAAAAGCCTAAATTCAGGCCTGCCCATCTATCTCTACTCCAAATGTATTACATATTTATCAAACTCTTACCTATCTTTTAAGTGAAAATGTTAAGCCTCTAACCCAAAACAGGCCAGAACTTTTTTAACTTTTCAAAAATAAAATGTGTTATGTTTCATTGCAAAACAGTACTTTTGACTTGTCACTAGAAGCACCCTAAGTGTTTTTCCAAGCTTTAGCAGATATACAGGGTCTGGATCACACACATATTCTATGTCAAGTTCAAATCATCTTTAAAACCCACACAGAAATCAAATCAGGCCAATTCATTTAAATTATTATGTTCAAGAGATAACTAGAATTGGTAACTGCTGATCACTAGAAAAGAAAGCACAGAGAATCACATCAATCAAGTAGATGAAGAAAACATGAACTTAATTGAATGCTTGGCTATGATGTCTCTCACTTAGAAAATTTCACTTTTCATTAAGTACAACTTTTACACAAGGCTTTTTCCAGTTGATATTTTTATTGAGATGATTATAGATTTACATGCAACTGTAGGAAATAATACAGATAAATCCCTTACCTAGTTTTCCTCAGTGGTAACATTTTGCAAAACCTTAGTATGATATCACAATCAAAATATTAACATGACTATACTTTTTCAAATTTCCCCAGTTAACTTTTACTCGTGTGTGTGTGTGTGTGTGTGTGTGTGTGTGTGTGTGTGTGCTGAGTTCTGTACAATTTCATCTCGAGTGTTGGTTTGGTTTCTACCACAGTAGAGACCCAGAACAATCATCTCCCCCCAAGGATCCCCATGCTGCCCTTTCACACCACGTGCACCTTCTTCTCATCCGCTCTCCCCTCCCCACCATAACTCTCGGCCACCACTAATCTCCATTTCTGAAATTCTGTCACTTCAAACTCACACAGTAGGTCACCTGTAGGATGTGCTCTTTTCACTCAGCGTAATTCCCTGGAGAGTCATCCAAGTTGCTGTGGTCACTGAGGGTTTTGAATTTTTATTGCTGCGTTTTTCCATGGTATGAATGGACCACTATCTATTTAATCATGTGCCAGTTGAAGGACACTTAGGCTCTCTCCAGTTTGGGGAGATTACAAATAAACTGTTACAAACATATGTGTACAGGTTTTTGTGTACAAATAAGCTTTCATTTCTCCCCAAAAGAGCACTTGCTGGGTGGCATGGCAATTGCATGTTTAGTGCCGCAGTGAACAGCCGCGCAGTTTTCCAGTGTGACTTTGACATTGTACATCCCCACCAGCAATGTACAAATGATCCAGTGTATCTGCATCCTTGCCAGTAATATCACCCATTTGGTGGGGTTACTGCATTTAATCTCAGCCCATCTGGTAGGTGTGTAGTGATATCCTGCTGTGGCTCTAGTCTGAATTTATGATGCTTTTATGATGGGTATAAAAATGTGAGCAACCTGGAACCTGAGATCAAGATGACCTAAAAGGACTTGACTGGAGCACAGGATGACCCCCACTTGATTCTACCCCAGGCTCTTCTGCTTTTAGTAAAAGATGAAAAAATAAATAAATAAAAATTTAAAAAGCTGCTTCTCTCTGCCACACTCTTCCTCCATGTTCAGCCTCGAGAAATGGAGCTGGCCTTCTATGAACTTAGACCTTTGAAACCATGAGCCCTCAAAGAAACTCTTCCTCCTCTGTAATTGTGCTGGTCAGGCCCTCTAATCTCAGCAGCAAGAAAGCTGACTAAAACACCCACTGTGTTTTATTTTAGATTATCAAGTCCCCCTTAGCAGGCACACCTTCTCTTACTCATGTCACAGTAATGTAAGCCCAGAATCTAGCAT